CCAAAAATCGTCGCGAGTTAACGGGCGTACTGGTGGTTTAATGGCTGCGTGGCGAATGAGGTGTGCGCACGAGCACAGGCAGTACACATATGGCTACATGGAGGCGCGAGCCTCGATCTCAGAAACAATCACCGCTAATAAACATGCGGCCTGGCCAGAGCTCAAAAGAATGTTTCAGAAGGAATCAGATACCACCAAATGGAATGAACTCTCTGATAACTTTCGTTCTATTTAGGTGGACAGTGCTGGAAAGCTCTGCGAACTGGATGAAGACAACCAACTGCAATGGAAACAGTGGATGTTGACAGAACCACAATGGGAACGCTTACCACGAAGTCACTTTCAGTTCCCATTCCAACCGGCCAATTTCATCCTCCTCCCGTACTGACAATAACCTTTACACATTGGGATCTGCTCCACCCCCCAAATGGCCCCCTCATGACCCTATCCAAACCCTGCCCAAACCCTCCCCCAATCCTAACCCACAGTCCTCCATCTCCATCCATTTCGTCCCCCCATTCGCTTCGCAGAAGGCTGGTCAAGAAGGGACATCCCACTACAGAGAAGCATAAGGGATTACGCCCTGGAGACAAAAGACGAAGTCACGACCCACGCCCGAACAACGGACCAAGATCAACTGGAAGGAGTTTCAGACGACAATGCATAGAAGGATAACAGGGAATGTAGTTGTGATACAGGCCGTGGACAACAGACAGCGCCCCACATTTGGAAGCCTAACACAGGTGGATTCAACAAATTGAATGGAGATAGAGCTTAGACAGACGGATAATACAATGACAAAACAGGTGGACACAATAATAGAGATAGAACTTTGATAGATTAACACCACAATGATAACTCAATGATATGGGTATTTGGGAGGGAGGGAACAGGAGGACGGCCAGGAGCACGCTAGGACGGGTCTAGAAGGCAGTAGATGCAAGATTGACACAGGGGAATGATAGTACAATGATACCTGAATGACATAATGAAATGTGTAATGAAAGGTGGGAGAGCATACTAGGATGAGCCTTATATGGTAACATACATCATGGGTTTTGGGAGGGAGGGACAGGGGTTGGCGGAAGCCACCCCACATCAGCTCCATACTTACTCAATACACCTCACACTCTCACAACACTGCACAAGACATCATGGGTTTTGGGAGGGAGGGGACAGGGGGTGGCGAAAGCCACACCACATCAGAACCACACTTACACAATACACCTCACACTGTCACAGCACTGCACAAGACTGCACCCCGGGCAATATGAAGAAGGACGGCCACTARGGTTTAAGGGTTTATCTTATCAGATACTGCTACAATCACATGTCCATTCATGCAAACAACCACAATGTTCAGGGACGCTGGACCCGCTGTCCAGCAGGTGCTGCTCCCCACCAATAGATGGAGCCTCCCCGATTGGTGCTTAGAAAAAAAAATAAAAAATAAAAATAAAATAAAATTGCCTTCCATAGTTCCATCGTCACTTCTCATCTCCCACCCCCTATACCTACAGCAGCCTACACTAATTACACAGGCCTAAAGCGGGCCTGACACAGGTCTTCTGCGCCCGGCAACCGGCTGCTTTTTTTTTTTTTTTTTTTTCACATCCCTGGCGGTGTTGCTCTTTTATTTTTTTTCATTGTTTTTTTTTTTCCTTCCCATTTGTTTTTTTTTCTTTCTATATTCTTCTCTCAACTTTTGTTTCTTTGCCTTCCACTACCTACTCCTGAGACTATCCTATGCTTGCAGGGGTCTGGTCCCACCTACAGTTGTTGAGTTCAGAAAACTCAACGGTGTGACGCCATTTCGACATTAAAATATTCGAAGCAAGAAATAAAAAAACTGAAAAAAATGCTAGAAACAACTTTTCTCCTTATTTTTTATAACGTTACTCCGAGAAATGAAACATGTCTGGAACAGTCGGAGTGAACGTCTCCGTGAAAAAAGGATACACCCCGTGGTGAGGGGACAGGAGGTCACCATTTGTAAAATGGACAGGGACGACGTGAATGGCCAAATGCATTCATTGCCCAAAGAAGGAAACGAGTTTGATGCCAGACACCCAAACACAGCTGTCAGAATTCCTCTGTTTCAGGATGCAATGAGGACTAAAAAAACAAAAAAAAGGAAAGGCACTGAAGTTGAGAAATGTACCCTACCCTCGGTAGGGTAGTTTTCTCAACGGAAAATGGCTTCCCGCCCAAACCAAAAGGGCCAACGCATACTACAAAACGGATTTCACGTCAAAAACAAATTCTACAAAATGACTAAATCTAATAGGTTATTCTCCTGTATTTTGGTACCGTTAGATTCGCAATACATCAACGGCAGAGCTCCGTCCCACCATGCCACACGTGATAGAAAGCTCAGCGTTGAGAAAACTCAACGCTGTGGGTGGGACTAGACCCCAGGGGTTTCCTTCCCATTTGTGCAACATGTGAGACGCTGTTTCGCATTAAAAAAAATGTTTTTCCCAATTTTTGCAGATTTTAAAACCTCGTTTTCTGTGGGTTCTTCTGTCAGGCTGCGTCCTCTGAAGGTCATGTTTCTGTTTTGCCGATCTCATGGAGGCTGAGAGAGCAACAAGGAAGCAACGAGGAAGCACAAGGAAACGTTGCAAAATCACCCCCTACCTAAAAAATGGGCAAAAATGCAAGCTTAGGGATGCAGTCACATTTCAAATTTCTCAGATGCACCTTTTGTACCACCAATAGATGAAGGCCTCCTATGGAGTAAAAAAAAAACAAAAAAAAAAAAGGACGAACAGTGGAATTCGAATTAAAAAATCAAAAGAAGTAAGCCCTTCTGGAGCGCGGGTTGGTTGACACCCCCGGCCACGAAAGGTCACGTGAAGTTTCAGAAACAGGCGGGCCGTGGATATCAATCTCCATCCACGGACTGTACGTGTCGCGAAAGGCCGCACGTGATTGAAAGCGCGACTAAGTCGTTGTCAAACGTGTCTAGTGGATCCCGAGTCCCGACCCAAAAGAAAAAAAACATGTCTAGTGGGTCCCGACCCAAAAGGTTAAAAACATGCTGTGGCTGCACACGATCAGCAGGGGGGCTACTCCGGCCAGGGCCGTGGTCCCACTAGAAAAGAGGATAGGATCGATTGCCTGAATGTGGACGTGTTTTTGGAGAGATGCAGGACGCACGTGATTGAAAGCCCTAGCAAGTTGTTGTCAAACATGTCTAGTGGGTCCCGACCCAAAAGGTAAAAACCATGCTGTAGCTGCACACGATTAGCAGGGGGGTGACTCCGGCCAGGGCCGAGGTCCCACTAGCAAAGAGCATCGGATCGAATGCGCGAATCTGGATGTGCTCTATGCAGAGATGCAGAAAAGCAGTTCAATCTCGATTTCCTGCATCTCTCCACAAACACATCCACATTCGGGCAATCGATCCGATCCTCTTTTCTAGTGGGACCACGCCCCAGGGGACAGCCCGTAGCATCAGGGACCATGCCAACAGGACCAATGATCCCTGTGCCTCCCCTCAGGTGGTGGTCCCCTCCCCTACGAACATCAGCAGACTCTGGTCAATGCCGATCGGGGGATCCATTGGTCTATCTCTACCGATCGGTGGCGGGCGCCAAGCAAGCCCATGGGGCTCGCTGCGCTACTCTCGCCATCCACAAAGACATGGCCGTGCATCTTTCCATGATCTAGGGGAAGATTCACTCTCGTTTTCCACATTTCGAGAGTCGTGCAGCGAGGCCCTATGAGCCGAGTCTTTCAGAGGTATCAGTACGTCAATATTGACTTCCTTCTTTCCGCCTGAGATACAGGTGGGTATCAGCATACCCCGGGCTGCTTGGAGTCCTGCATGAGGAGAAAGATTCCCCACAATGGGTTGGAGTCCTGCATGAGGAGGAATCTTTCCCACAATGGGTTGGTGACTTGGCAATGTTTTTTTTTCTTTTTTTTTTTGGAAAAGGCCCTTGCCATATCCCTCTATCCTGTCGGTGGTTAATGTTATTCTAGGAGGCGGGGCTTTCAGAGGTGTCAGCAGTTTCATGGCGGTTTCCCTTTTTCTTCCCGCCAAGGAAAGCATAAAGGGAGTGCGCGAAGAGGCTTGGTGTTGTTTGGAGCGCGGCGGACTTCCCGCCGAGGGCTGGATCGGTCTCTTGCCAGGCAGATGGACAGATGATGGACAAACAATTGTGGAGACGGGGTATCGGTGGGCATCAGCATACCTCGGGCTCAATGGAGTCGTGCATCAGTGAGAGCCTGAGAGGAGAGTGATGCGATCCAGTCTTGTCGACGATGCTGTCGATGACTCGTCTTTTTCGTTCGGCGGAGCTTTCAGAGGCGTCAGCAGATTCATGCCGATTTCTTAAGGCTTCTTCCCGCCGACGGAAGCATAAAGGAGTACGTGAAGAGGTTTAGTGTCCTGGGGCCAAGTCCAAGTAGATGGTGTTCCTCATTTCTGGCCATGGATCTGTGTATTCCCTCCACAATCGGCGGTCAAGAATGAAGAACATACGCCAGTGGGACCTGGCCCCTGTAAACTTGAAAAGCGCGGTGGAGTTCGATTGACAAGCAGATGGAATTGGCGGGAGGGATGGGCATAAAATTCATCTGTCAAGTGCACTGGAAGAAACGTAGCGGGAAAAGGGGAAAGTCAATGGGAAAGCAGTAGTCTATCGCGGCATTGCGGTGGCAGGCGGCAAGGCTGTTGGCGGGACTTATCACCCCCTCTCTAGTAGTGGTCGCTGGCTATTAAAAAAAAAAAAAAAGAAGCGGGGGGTGGTAAGAAGGGGGAGGGGGGTGGGGGCGGGTGGTAGTTACCTCTTATTATTCCTGAGACTGCGAGTGGGTGGTGGGAACGAGGAGCGGCGGAGCAGAAGAAGCTTGTGACTTTGCAGGAGGGGAAGCTGAGGTCGAGAGATCGACGGCAAGTCGAACGCCTTTTTTTTTAACATCATGGCGACTCCATCGCCGTCGTGCGATCCTTTCGCGTGCTTTCCTGACGCCACTGATCATCGGTATCACTGGATAGTCGTGGCTGGGGGAATTATGGCCTTCACTTTTGCATGGGCGATGGGAGCGAACGACGTGCCAAATGCCTTTGCTTCGGTGATCACTTCCGGTGTCTTGTCATTCAAAGGGGCAGTGGTAGTGTCGTCAGTATTCGAGCTGCTCGGAGCGCTGCTGATGGGAGAGAAAGTGACAAGCACCATCGTCCAGAACGTCGTGGATTGGACGAAGTTGGGGGACAAAATGAATGGCCCTAGCTTGACAATGTGGGGATTAACCTGTGCGCTGGGCGCTTCAAGCGTCTGGGTAACCATAGCCACGTTCTACGCGTGGCCAATCTCGAGCACACACACGATCATAGGAGCGATGGTGGCACACGCGCTCGTCATGAAGGCCGGCGAGTCAATCTATTGGGTGAAAAAGACGGCGAAAGGCGGAACCTGGGAGGGGCTCCCGATTTCGCCGGTTGTCGGGATCGCGGTATCGTGGGTGGCATCGCCTGTGCTGGCGGCGACCTTAGCTGGCGCTTTCTTCGGACTCATCAAACGCTTCATACTGGTTCACGACGATTCCGTCGAGCGTACGCTCAACTTCCTGCCTTTTACATCCGGTTTGACCGCCTTGGTGATCACCCTGCTAGTAATGTTTTCCTCGACTTCTTGGCTTAAAAAAGTGGACGTTCTTATGGCTCTCGGGATAGCATTCGCAGCGGCGCTGGCGGGCTGCTTGCTCGGCTATGTCGTCGGGATCCCGCTTGCACGGGAGAGACTGAGGAGGTATGACAGTCTGCTAAGGCGCCAACTTGAGGCAGACGCGGAGGCTCCGCCGCCGGCTATGGCGGCGGTGCCACCGGCGACGGAAATCGATGGGCGGGGGGGGAACCCCATAGATGGGCTTCCGGCGGGCTTGAGATTGGAGGGAGAGGAAGTCGATGGAGTCGGCGATGGCCGCGGAGATCGAGGTGACGACGATGCAGGTCGTGGTGATGGCAATGCAAGGATCGTGCCCTGGGGATTCGGAGGACAAATTGTTTTCGATGAGCACACTCTTCGCCTTCACGCTCTTTCGAGGAGATTTAAGCGTCGAACAGAAGAGTTATTCAAGATCTTTCAGGTCTTTGCGGGTTGCGCGATGGCGTTTGCTCATGGTGCCAACGACGTGGGAAATCCGATCGCCCCTTTCGCCGTCATTTACGCTATACATCGTGAAGGTGAGGTCTTTTTTCAATCCGATTTCAAGGCACCGCTGCAGATCTGGATGCTGGTACTTGGTGGGGTGGGCATTTGTGTCGGTTTCGCAGTATGGGGATGGAGAGTAGCGACCAGTATCGGAGGAGGCTTGACGCTGATGACGCCATCGCGGGGCTTTTCCTGCTTGCTCACCTCGTCGTTCGTCGTTGCCGTCGCATCCAGGTTGGGCTTACCTATCTCGACGACACAGGTTCTGGTAGGTTCCACGGTCGGTGTGGGAGCTGCTGACAATTTCAGGACCGTTGATTGGTGTTTGTTCGGCAAATTCCTGCTGTCGTGGCTTGTGACGGCCGCAGTTGCGGGTGGCATGACCGCTCTCTTCTTCGCCATCTCCGTCTATTCTCCAATTCAGCCATAGCTCGCTCCCAAAATCGAGAATGTATATAGCTCGCTCCCAACATCGAGAATGTATAGATCCGGCTTCTGAGAGAATCTAGTACACGATAGAGTACTGACGCTTGAAAACCGAAAGCGATAAAGGAACTTTAAGACACCATCATGATGGGTATCACCCACAGCGCACGTTTCCGACGTCGTGTAGATGCGCGCAACTGCGGTAGTTTCACAAAGCGGGATCTTTATCAGGTATTATTATGTATTAAGCACAGTAATTGTCCGCAGTACTTAGATTGCAAACCGTTTGCGGTAGTTTCACAAAGCGGGATCTTTATCAGGTATTATTATGTATTAAGCACAGTAATTGTCCGCAGTACTTAGATTGCAAACCGTTTTTTTTTAACCCTTTGACAGGGTGTACAGTGTGACGGACTACCCGTAGATTGGCTTTTAGTATTACTTTTTTGGGGGGGGTAACTTCAGTAGAATCACAAAAACGACTTATAATTGCACGACAGGGCAAGATACAGTTTGCAATTGCACTTTGGGCACCCTACCTGGCCAGAAAGCTGGCTTGTATACATTGCCCAAACTGCAATTCGAAACTGTATCTTGGCCCATACTGCAATTGTAACTCGTTTTTGTGACTCCCCGGTAGTTTACAGGGTGTACAGTTTTTGACGGATTACCCGAGTTTTGGGGTCGGGTGTGGGTGAGTGATAGTCTGCTTTGATTTTCGTCGCAGGGGTACCTTGGGGGCAGTGGTTAGTGGCCCCCTCCTTGGGGGGTATCAGTTGTCGAGCAGTCGTTGATGCTTAGTACCCGTAAAGGGGGTTAAGGTGGATTAGCACTGACCAGTAGCACATCCGTTAGGGGACTCTTCTACAGACTGTAGAGGGTTCATCCTCCTGATGAGTACTAACGGTAGGCGAAACTCCAAGGAAACAGTCTGTCACAGCCCGGGCCGTCGTTTGTTGTCCTCTTCTCCCTCCCTGCCGAGGGTCTTACCAGGCAGGCAGTTGTGTATGACGATAGCATATCACGACTTGGCTACGGGTAGCTCCCTGCTACGGTTTTCTCCGGTCAGGTTGAACGACAATGGTCGTGGTCGGGGCCATCACTACGCGGGCATGCTGTGCCTCTAGTGCCAGGGGCGTGTCTGGAGTTCATTTTCTGGCTGTGGCAGACCTTTCTTACGGGGCCATGCTGTGCCTCTAGTGCCAGGGGCGTGTCTGGAATGCATTTTCTGGCTGGGACAGACCTTTCTTTATCTCGTGGGTGTTTTGGTGGCTTATGTTGGGGTGTGTATCGGCAGTCTCTAGATTTTCCGTCTGGTCGGAGTGAGAGAGAGAGTCTGCTTTGATTTTTGTCACATGTACCTTGAGGGCAGCGGTCGCTGCCCACCTCAGGGTATAAGTTGTGGGTGAGAGATTGGGCGTTATGCACCAACTCTTTTTTTTTTTTTTTTTTTTACATTACACCAACTGTTCTGAGTCTCCAATTATCTCTTTCTTCCCCTTCCGTACCTACATCCTCAGGGTATCAGTAGTGGGGCAGTCGTTGATGCTTAACCGAAACCAGGGTAAAGGTGGATTATCAGTCTCAGTATCATTGATTAGGGGACTGCAGACTGAGGGTTCAGCCCCCACATGCGTTCCTGAACTGGGACGAAACAGTCTGTCACAGCCCCTCGTTTTTTGTCCTCTTCTCTGTGTGTGTGTGTGTGTGTGTGTGTGTGTGTGTGTGTGTGTGTGTGTGTGTGTGCCTCCGGTTTCCGGGCAAGTTCTGTGTGATGATATATATATCTATATCAATCACTACCTTTTACTTTTTTACATCAATCACTACTATGGTCCCTCCGTAGTCCCCAGAGTAACCAGACAGCCACCCCTCGAAATCTTGGCGTATACATACATATATATATATATTACAGTTTGTCACAGCCCCTCGTTTGTTGTCCTCTTCTCCCTCTCTGCCTACGGTTTACCGGGCAGTTCTATTTCACGATATATATATATATATATTGTCACAAACAGAACTGCCCGGTAAACCGTAGACAGAGAGAGAGAAGAGGACAACAAACGAGGGGCTGTGACAAACTGTTTCGTCGGAGTTTCACCGACTCATCAGGAGGCTGAACCCTCAACAGTCTGCAGAATCCCCTCACTGATTACACTGTAAAT